CGATCCCCCCAGAGTTGACAAATTCCTTTAAGCCCTATTCAGCTCCATTTTTGCCCCGGGCTATTTGGTTTGCTTCTCCATCTTTGGGAACATCATCAAAAGCCTGAGATTGACCGCTTTTGAAGAATAAACACACTATACGAGCAATGGGCTGCGACCTCCTTTTTGCCATTTTCTGAGCTTTTTCTGAATATCTTTGATTGACTCTAAAAAGGCTTTAATGGACCGTTCTTAGCTCAGTTTAACTTTATTACCCTGAAATACACATAAACATAAATTAGGACTAAAACATGAAATTAAGATAGCTACAACGACTGAAATACCCTAACTTAGGTGCTAAAATGTGCAACATTTAAGCACTTATCATTTACAATAAGTGAGAACATTCACTTTAGAGGAAAGTTTTAAAGGTTTACTCAGACCTTTGATGTAAGTATTCAATCTATTAATTGAATGATACATCATATTTTTATTTTTGCATAAAACTTGTCTCTATGTGATGAATCAAGATCTATGAATCAAAATCCCTCGAAAAGTTTTTAAAACTTGCACGTTTCCCAACAACATCAAGGTTGCCCAATTGAAGATATGAGTTCATAAATGAATTAGGACCACAGACTATGGATATATGTTCAAAAGAGGGGACAAAATTGCTAGAAATTAAAGAAATGTGGGGCTATTTATAATGGAGTGAAGCATCTTTATCAAGTTTAATTGAGTTTCTCTCTTTATGTAATGCCATTACATGTTCAATCCCCATCTCTGTGCCTACATCTTGGACACCTCAAAAGAGATGGGATTTCTCAATCACTAATGGTCCTAGTAGTTTAAAGATCGACATTGATGCCCTCCTCCATGGCCTCTTTTATATGTAGGTAGCTAAAATTGAACCCATGAACCACCCATTTTGGTACTTAATTTTATCTTGGCTTTGCTTTGAAGAATCGCGATTCATGCTCTACAAGATCATGATGATTTCTTGGGCTAAGAAGGAGCTTGTTCAACTTAGAATCCGCAAGTCTAAGAAGGTAATGGTTCTTTTATATCTTTAGATATGCATGTGTATGACTTATACTCTGCACATTATGGAGAAAATGTGGAGGTTATAAAGATATGGACTATGGTGTTGAATCCAGGTGCAGGAAGTGGTTCTAGCAGCTGATTTACAGTGCACTGAGTGCAGAAAAAGGGTAGCTGATGTGATTTCAAAGATGGATAGTAAGTTTTTAATCGGAAATTGAATGTGAGATTGAGATTTATGTATTTCAGACAATCATATATAAACTATAAATAGCCATTCTCACATTGAAAAATCATACCACTGACTGTGCCAGCAGATAATCTACCATTAAAATTGACTACCATTCTTGTGTTTTCTACATGTCAGCAGATATAGAGTCGATGGTGGTGCATGTATTAGAAAAGAAGGTCACACTGGCGCGTAAATTTAAGTGAAAAAATTATACTACAGAGTGTTGCTGCTGCCCACAGTGATTGCGGAGTTTTCTTCTTCCTATAGTTGATTACAAAATTGCAAGTCATGTATGAAATCCCACCAGGGATTTCTTCTCTTGGGTGGGTGAGTTCGAATTTGAACATGAAACTCCATGTTGGTGGTGTAGTAATTAGTATGTCAATTTTTTGAACCATATATGAGTTGGACCTGGATTGTACATTAAAAGTGGCTAGTATATGATATGACAAGTATTCCATGACTTAGAGTTCCTTTTTTCTCTCTCTTGTTGGGGATATAATGCATGCTATTGTTACAAAATCGGATCGATAATGATGCTTGTATGTAGCCTATTTTCTGGTAAAAAAAAAGTTTCCAGGAAAAACTCTATGAGCCAATGCATAGGGTCTTGGGTTCACTTTTTGCTGTGGAACAATCGTTCCTATATCGCCTATTTCATGGTACCGAATAAGACACATGCTTCATTAAAGAAGATTGAGGAATCTTGAGAAAATTCTTGATTGGACTAGAAAATTAGGCATGAAAGTTTGGGAATCTTGTTCTTGACTACAGTTATATAAACCCTTTTTAGTGGATTCTCATAGTAGTATTAGTACTTTACTATTAGTACCATAAACTTGTTTATTCAAACTTTTGCCATTCCAACAAGCAACAGACACTTCAATTCGGCATTTGCAGTACATACAGCTAAAAGGGATGCCTTTCTGCTTGCAAGCATAGGCCTTTAGAACAAGAAAAGGATGCTCTGCTGCAGTGCATATGAAATAAGTACACAAAAGCAAAGAAAAGAAGTTAAGAATAATGCAGGCCTAAGAACAAGGTTTTCTCTCTTTGGCCTTAAAAAGAATCAGATTCCACAATCAACAATTATATACGTATAAAGTAATAGAAACATGATGAACCAGCTCATGATCCTTGCTATATATTCTCAAAATCATATATGTCATTGCCTTTTACTAGCTCCTTTTTCCATCATCGAATCAACAATTCGGTTCTGAAACATCGCCTCTCCTCTCGCCACCTTCATGACAGAAAGGGTAAGCTTTTTGTTGCATCAATCACCTCCCTCTCTCTATTAATTAAAGCTCCCAATTTCACTTCTTGTTTGTTCGTAAACGTGCATGACAGTTTTGTTGCATGGTGATGAGGATCAATATCGATTGCAATGGTTGTTATAGAAAAGTAAGGAGAGCCCTTCTTAATATTCAAGGTAAGATCATACTTCAAGAAGTCTTGGGCCCTCTCAACTTGGTTATGTGACTTCAATATCTATATAAATGTGTATATATACATGTGTGTGCTTACATATTTCCTTTTTTGATAAATGAAGAGTTGGAGACACATTTGATAGAGAAGCAGCAGAGCAGGGTAAGCGTGTGTGGTAAATTCATCCCACAGGATGTGGCAATCAAGATAAGGAACAGGACTAATCGCAGAGTTGAGATACTAGGCGTACAAGAATTCAATGCCAACAATGAAATTATGTATGATCAGAGACCCTTCATCACTACTTATAATCTGTTATCCAATCACCACCAAATTGAAACTTGTATAGCATGATATATATATATATATAGCAGGATTTCTAGTCAATTTGTTTTTCTTGAATCATCATTCAAATTGTCATCTCTAATCCAATTATGATTCTTCACACCCTTTGACTTTGTGTTCTTTTCTAGCTTCTTGTTTGAGCCACACGACTTCATATTTATCAAAGCAGGTGGGATTTTCGCTGCTCGTGACCAAACCATTCTCTTTTTAAAAACACAAAATGTGTTCATATTATTATATATAGAGTGGAAAATTGGAAGGCAATCAATCTAGAAAATAATGGGCAACTCGGAGATGTCAAAGCCAAACAACTTTAAATCATCTAATTATTGATCCAGAATACATTTAAGAGTTACAATTAGTAGAGCACTAGAGCTTGATCAAATTTATTGTCCCTTTGTTGAATTTTGGCTTTTTTATCATCATTGTCTTTGTATTCCTTAATTTCGGAAACTATTACCTTTAGCCAAACAACTTTAAATCATCTAATTATTGATCCAGAATACATTTAAGAGTTACAATTAGTAGAGCACTAGAGCTTGATCAAATTTATTGTCCCTTTGTTGAATTTTGGCTTTTTTATCATCATTGTCTTTGTCGTTATCTCTCGCAAACAGTTCCGTCATGTAGAATATTCTCATTTTCCAATCTTTTCTTCACAACTTCTGGGCCTCTAATTCACTAAATTCTAATAATGGGTGAAACAGAAAGGGAAAGGGCAGAAGAATTCTTAGATAGAGAAATAAAAGAAGAGAGAAGGAAGAAATTCAAGATATTTCCTTCATGTGGTTGAGAAGGAAAAATGTTGAGATAAAAAATGTTCTTGAATTTGGTAGATTATGACATGAGCTGGTTCAAATTTGTTTAACAGGGTCAAAAAAAAAAAAAAAAAAAAAAAAAAAAAAAAAGTAACAAAAAAGTGTTTTTAATATTTACATATAAAAAAGAGAGGTTAAATAATTATTAATTCATAAAAAAGAAGGTTAAATAATTTATTTTCAATTATTTTTATTTTTATTTTTATTTTTTAACCATAGTGAATAAACTCACACGTCCATCTAGCACTTGCCTTATCTGGCTTGACAGCTTTCTAATTTGAAGATGATAGTGTAAAAAGAACAACTTTTCCTCATCTCAGAGTAAGCAAATGTAATAATTATCTTTTATAAGTGAATGATATGGAAAAACAGGGTACACATCACAAAAGTTGATAATTATCTTTTTCTTTTATCTTTATTGCCTAAAAAAAAAAAGTCCAATCCAAAACCTTTAAGATTGATAGAGGAGTTCGTCATAAATTCAAATACTTTCAAGAACACTATAAAATTATAAATCAAGCAACGTTTGTCACTTTTTGCATAATACAAGTTATATTGCTCTTTAATTTACTCTTCTTCTTTTATAATCTTGCAGATTAGATGAATATATTAATCCAATTTAAGAAAGAGCTCTTATAAAAATAAACAAAATATTGCAACAAAAAAAAATATGTAGATGAAAGTTTATAATAAATAACACAAAATTGGTATTTTGTATTTCTCTCTTTTTTAGAAAAGGGTGAAGCAATTTCACACACACATATTTCCATCTAGGCTCGGACTAAAATCTTTCTTTGAAAAGCTAAGGGTTAGTACCACTTGACCACTTAATCCTTTGATTAGTATTTTATATCTCAACAAGCCAGAATAATGGTCTCAATGAAAAAAATTAACAATATATATAGTTAATTAATATTAATCATATTATTACATAAATATAAACAAATCATACTCTAAATTTTTTATCTTTAGGTCTAGAAAACAACACTAAGCTAGAACTCTTGAAAAAAAAATATATATCTCTAAGGTGATCAACCTACCAACATTTGTAAGATTTATAGATTGAAAGGATCATTTTTTAAATTAGGTAGGCTAGGATGATATGGGCCATGCCTAGTTAAGAATCAGTCAAAACTATACTTGTCAAATGGGTTGTGGACCGTACTGTACATCTATTTGTTATGCGTACACTTGTCAATATATTAGTAGTTATGAGTTATATAGTACTGTATTTAAATCACCGGAACGACACCGTTAGCCACGTCCAAAGTGCCCGACAAATATGCATATTGCTTTTCCTTGACGGATCGAAAACCTTTTGTACTTCGTCCTCAATTCCAATGATATGAATATTATACTATCTTTTCCAGATTCTGTACGGTTTCATTTCTCTCTCAATATATAAACATATAATTTTTTTTTGTAATTTTTCTTTTAAGATCTTTGTTTATATCTAAATCGACGTGTACTACTTGTCTCTCTCTCTCACTCTTCATGTAGATCTTGGGTGGTTTAGATTTAGATTTTTACTGCTTCAGGGTTGCATCTATCGGTAATCGATTAATCTCTCTCGTACCCATCTCCTCTCTCTCTCTCTAGAATATACTCTTGAATTGATGGTAAGCAATATGGTTTGTTAATTGAAGTACCGACTTGCAGAGAAATGAAATTGTAGGATTGAATTTCTCATCCTTTGCTTATTTATTTATTCAGACTTTCTCTCTATAGAACTTGGAGAGAGAAACAGAGATGGCAACCAAATTAGGATTCATGAAGAATTTAGCAGAGAAGAGAGAGAAAGAAAGACTGCTATCATACAAGGGAGGAGGGTATTCAGCTTTAGCAGGACTCAGTTTAGGAGAAGAGGAAGAAGAAAAGTCTTATGGGTGTTGTTCTTTTAGGTCATTTGGAGAGTTATGGAAGAATTTGCAAGAAGTTGGTGGGAAGGCTTGGGAAATGGGTCGGTCCGACCCACGAAAGATTGTGTTTTCGGCCAAAATGGGCCTTGCTTTGATGCTCATAACTCTCTTGATTTTCTTGAAGGAACCAGTTAAAGATCTGAGCAGATACTCTGTTTGGGCCATCCTCACTGTTGTGGTTGTCTTTGAATTCAGTATAGGTATGTGATTTTAATTTCATTTTCTTTTTTTTTTCTTTTTCTTTTTTTTGGGTTTTTCATGCTAATTATATTTTCTGTCTATTCATTGAACTTCTCTTATGCTGCATTTGGAAACTAGAATTCATGATTCGGAATTGCAATTTATGTTTCATAAAGTTGAACTACCATGGTCCACAATTTTGATTTGGAACTGTCCCATCAAATACAGTAGGAAAAAGTTATAATGATGTCGCTTTCACCGTAAAACTAGCATTCTTAGTTGTTGGATCGAGAGGCTGAGGAGCTTCTAAGATTTTTACAGTTGAGGGTGCGTGTCCTGATGGACTTACTTTTTCTCGTTGTTATCTACACAATCCAATAGTGAGACAGCGTGTGTTCATGTGTTTTTTGATTGAGTAGGAAGTAAAAAAAAAGGTATCCTTGTCAGGAAAGGAATGGCCTTTTCTTGTGATGTTTGGTTGAGAAAGAAGTAAATATGGAGGGAATGAATGGTTCACTGTATGATTTTTGGCCTTTAGGAGTTTTTGGAAGGATATATATCAAAAGAGGAAAGATGCTTCCTTCCTCCTTTCTTCCCACTTTTGGGAGGAAGAAAAAGTGGGCCAAAAGGAAGGGTCTTCCCTTCCCTCTTTTCCTTCTTTTAAGTAAAAGGCTTTCCTACCCTCCTCTTCTCCTTCTCTCTTTTCTAATCATTTTCCTCCATAGCAGATAGACTCTCAGTGCTATCTCTCTCCAATTGTGAATTAGTATATGATGGTTCCAATAACTGACATAGTATGGTGTTTTACTACGCTAGATTCGTTTGTCAATTTCTCATATTAAAAAAATAGTGATGCCAATAATGTAATGGTAGAACAAAAATGATACAGAACAATATAATGGATATGCTACAAGAAATTGTCAAAATAAAGCCCATCTCTCATATCTGTCTTCACCTTTTTCGAGACTCAATACCTAAATGATCTCTAAGTTATTGACAATCTATTGTTTTCTGCATATGCATAAGTTTGCTAGTGTGTCTTTACTTTTTACTCACAACTGGTAATTGGTAATAGTTCTATCTTGCCATAACTGGTAATAGTTCTAGCTTACTTTTCTATCTTGCCATAATTTGTAATACTTCTAGCTTACCGTGAGCGCTTTTTTTTTTAGTAAATTAAGTATCGTAAGCTATCTCAACATCCATCTTTGATTGATTCTCCTTCATTGGACATGTTTATATGAGTTTTCTCATGTGGATGGGCTTTGCTATTCTGCAGGAGCTACTCTTAGCAAAGGATTTAACCGCGGGTTGGGGACATTATCGGCAGGGGGGCTTGCTCTCGGCATGGCTGAGTTATCTTCATTGGCTGGAGACTGGGAAGAAATTGTTATTATTCCAAGCATATTTATCATGGGTCTGATTTTGCGTTTTTTTTTTTCTTTTTTCTATATTATGTTAGAACTACCCAGTTTGTCACTATATATATATATATATATTGAGGTTGTAAAATGTATTGTGTTGTTTCCAGGTTTTTTCGTGACTTATGCAAAACTGTACCCCACTATGAAGCCATATGAATATGGATTCCGAGTGTTCTTGTTAACATATTGTTATGTAATGGTATCTGGGTACCGCACAAGAGAATTTGTAGATACAGCCGTGAATCGTTTCTTACTCATTGCGCTGGGCGCTGGCGTTTGTTTGGTGGTAAATATATGCATCTACCCCATCTGGGCTGGTGAGGATCTGCACAACTTGGTGGCGAAAAACTTCATGGGTGTCGCCACCTCCTTGGAAGGTTGATCGACATTTATATATATTACCATATTTTTCCATTCTGCTGAAATACTTGTATCAATAAACACTACAGCTTGTCCTGTTCTTCAGTTTCTTTTCCATAGTGCTAATTTCTCCAAGCTCTTTCCAGGTTGTGTCAATGGGTATCTGAATTGTGTCGAATACGAGAGGGTTCCTTCGAAAATTCTTACTTACCAAGCTTCCGATGATCCAGTTTATAGCGGCTACAGATCAGCAGTGGAATCTACAAGTCAAGAGGATGCTCTGGTACTCTTCTACATAGATGGTGCTGCATTTGCAGGTCTACGCAAAATTATCTACCGTTTGGTCTTTAACTCATTTTCATATCTGCAGGTAGGCTTTGCTATCTGGGAGCCACCTCATGGTCCTTACAAAATGCTTAAATATCCTTGGAGAAACTACGTCAAAGTAAGTGGTGCATTGAGGCATTGTGCATTCATGGTCATGGCACTGCATGGATGTATACTCTCAGAAATACAGGTGATTATGCTTCCCGTCTCTTACTCCATTCGTTATAGCCAAGCCCTTTGGAATCTGATATAACTGAATTTTAATTCATATACCTTAATTATATTTTGGGAAATTTTATACTATTTTCTCATGTCTCATGGGGAGTTGAACCCTCAACTTCCTACGTTGACTTCCCATGTGAGAGGATGAGGAAATGTCACTAGGCTATAACTTTGATAGTCTTTTTATTCAAAATTTCATTTTGACATTTATATTTTATTCAAACACAATTTTTTAAGGTATCTCCTTTAACAATTATGTATTTACCATTTCCTTTCCAAGAAGGCCCTTGAGATTTGCTTGTCATCTCCCAGTGGAAAATGATCTTATGCTTTGCTCTTCTTCTTCTTTTCTTTTTTTTTTTTCCTAGTTTCTTATGCTTTTATGTTCTGCTTTTGCTTACCTTAATGATCTGAATGGTCTCTTCTGCAAAACACACTCACCCCCCCATACGCGCACCCCTACTGTTTTGGCCTTCATCTTGGATACTTGGTCTACGAGTACAATTTCAAGAGATAGGTTCGTGACTTTCTTTACTAGAATCATTTATGAATAAATAATATAACACTTTGAACAATTGTATTTGTAGGCTCCTGCTGAGCGAAGAGAGGTATTTCGTGACGAACTTCAGAGGGTAGGTACTGCAGGCGCTAAAGTGTTACGAGAGCTTGGAAACAAAGTAAAAAAGATGGAGAAATTGAGTGCAGCTGACATACTACAAGAAGTGCATCTGGCAGCGGAAATGTTGCAAAAGAAGGTTGATCAAAAGTCATACCTTCTCGTCAATTCAGAGAGCTGGGAAATTGGAAATAGGGAAAAGGATCTGGGAGATCCACAAGACGACCTGAACACAGAGAATGAGAAAAATAAATTTTATGAACACAAGTCTCTCAGTGAGGCTGTGCTTGATCTGAGATCATTTCCAGTGCCAGGGAGTCAGGATGTTCGAAACACTAACGTGGATGCGAATTCCATCCCAAATGCAAACGCTCCCTCAGTGAACATGTTCGAGAGGCGAATATCGTGGCCTTCTCACATCTCATTAGCACCCTATGCACCTCTTGAAGAAGAAGAAGAATCGAAGACTTACGAAAATGCCAGTGCATTGTCTTTGGCAACATTTACATCACTTCTGATTGAATTTGTTGCACGGCTTCAAAATCTTGTTGATTCATTTAAAGAATTAAGCGAGAAGGCTAACTTTAAGGAACCCGTTGATCCTTCAGCAGTAGCAGAGGAGGCTGTTGGATTTTGGACCAGGTTGCGAAGGTGTTTTAAATTTAGGAACAGAGATGGAAATTTACTAGGTTAAACATCATTTTTTATGCATAGAAGGAAAACATTGGAAAGGAAGGCACTTGAGGAGACTTGTTGCCAATACTGAGGTCTTATAGCTCCTAATGTTGGTCTCATGAAGTTGGTAATCGAAGTAGTTTCAGTTCTCTAAATGCTGTGGAAACTGAACTTTGCTGCTGATGTACTTGCAAGTACCTGCAACTATGGCTGCTTTCGAGTTCTACTTGCCAAAGCTGTCTGAGAGACTTTAATCTAGAGAAGTAAACTAGATGACCATTAAAGTTCAAGACGATTTCTTATATCAATGACAAGTTGTTCTGGATGACAAATCAAAGAACTCCAAAGTTATGGAGTAGCAATCATATAGAGATATCTGATTGAATTGGGGACTCAGACTAGAAATCGGAAGTAGATGTTTAACAGCTGTGGAGTTATCTTCTCCAAATTGTAAGTTAGCATAGGTGATAAAGGAATCTGGCAAAAACCAGCCAACTCACCCGCACGCGATGGGGCTAAATAGTTTGGACTTGGTTTTTGAGGTACACCGGTGAACAACTTCATTCTCTACTAGTAGTTTAAATTTTGGAACATTTTCATTTACGTGAATGGATTAGTTAGGTTCTTTTCGGATGATTGAATCATATCTAGTAGCTTATTTGAATCTTTTAGAATTTGATCCGAGTTTGGTCCTAGTTCCTTTTGCAAGCCAAGTATAAGATTTCAAATGGTAAGATGATTGTGCAACATAGAATAGAGGCCACTTATTCTTTAAAATTCATAGATCTGATATCCTTATTTGCTTCAGATCAAACCCTAGATCTTCCTCTCTTGGCATTCTTTAAAAAACCAATAACCAGAAGTACAAAAATGAGAACTTGTTATAATAGTGATTGATTGTTTCACACAACATTAATGCAAGGGTTTTTATTCCTTTATTGTCAAAATTGGAGTATGTTTGTTTGTAACATTTTCTCATTCATTCTCATAAATGAAAACAGTGAGATTTAGAATATTTGGGATTATTTTCATCCTTGTGGACTTCAGATATTGAAAATGCAACGAAGCTTATAAATATTTTGGTTTAGTGAAACTTTTGTATCATAACCAACAGCTTTCAAAAACAACACATAGACAAGGATTTTTTCTGTTGCAGGTTATAGTACCATGTGCCTCCTTAAATCTGCTAGTGTTGAACTGGGTTAAACACTAAACCGATCTCAATGACTTAGAGCTGAATAAGTTGCTATTAATGGGGATTATCGGAGTTGTATAAATCTCTCCCAAAATTTCCTGTTAGACACTTAAATTAATTTTTATGAGGGCAAGTAAAGAGCATTTGACTTATCACCACGTTATACATAGAAATAGGAGTAAATAGTACTGTTGGAAATATGATATATGATACACGCTGACAAACTTTTATGTTTTAATTAACAGAAATAATAGAAAAATATCAGTGGGATATGTAGAATTACAAAATTATTCTGGTTTATATCGGATACACGAACAGCATAAATACAGACGACTGTTGAACTAGTCATGAGAGAATGCGTCGAAGCAGAGAGAGCAGAGGACGAACTGGATATGTACAAAGGAAAATAGTATAATGAAACCAAAATCAACATTGGCTTACCACCATGTTAGCAACAAAGATCCACGCCTCAGAGAAATGGAAGGCTCTCAAATCTCTGGGGCATGACACAGTCCGAGTGTACCCATCCAATTTTATGGTTAACATTGTCGTATACAATGAGCTGTCCACGCAACGAGATGTCTGCAAAGGGAAAAATTTATCAATGTCCGCCTGAGGAGGAGAAAACAAAAAAATATAGGTTCTTAGAAAAGCAAGATAATGTCGAACAATGTTGATATCATTGGGGAAAAGAAATAATGTGAGATCCCAAGTTGACTGGTACGTGGAAATTTATAGAAACACAACAGGAACAAAGTTTTTATGTCAATGGTAATAGAACAGATTAGAAGGCACCCCAGTTCACTTTGATCTGTAAAATTGGTAATAATGATATCAAATTTAGAAACTAACAGACTAAATAAAGGTCCAATGAATTCAATTTCAATCTAAAGAGCGCTAGCTCAGGACTTGGCAGAACACAATGTTGGCCATATCTTAGACACACCAAAAGAAAACACTAAGAATGCTAGAACTAAAGAAGATCTAACAAGTATCTAACGAACAAAGGTACCTCCAAGTATAATACTAGATCCATCATGTACTTTGCTTCCATCAAGGATACCCAAGCAGACATTGCCCTTATTCTGCAAAAGAGATAGCCTCATCACTTACTGTTTTACAACTTGAGATATTGGAACTCACACGAGTAAAATGACAATAAAAAACAAGAGCTAGAAATCCTTACACTTATGATTAAGTAGCCCTCTGGAGGAATCCGAATCTTTCTGGAGACGATCCACCATTTGCTCCCAAGTTGAAGGGTCAAAGGTTTAAAGAACTGCTTGACATCGATAACAGATCTGCAAGCACATGAATGGAGACCTTTTAAAAGAATATGGTCAATTGAGATAGGTCATGAGGCAAGAGACAATCAAACCAGCTTAAACATCATGATATACGTGCAAAAGGGGGGCAGATAAAAAGACTAGGGGCATATATGTGCATGCAGCTTTGTGCAAAATTGACTTCTACTCACGACCAAACTAATTTTTAATGTCTAAGACTTCATATTGAGGCTGATTTACTTTCCCCTCAAAAAAGGTTAGTGAGGCTAAGAAAAAGTAGTTTCATATTCGCTTTCAAAGTATATACTTCACTCCAACCTTTAATATACTTTCAAATTCTTCTAGCAGCAGGCATCTAAGGGTGTCCAAAAAAAAAGTTTAATTAGTTTCTCATAATGAATTCACATTTAAGAATTTTCAACAAGTTTAGCATATGATGTTCAAGTCCAAAATTTTCAAACACTAAATGCATTATTTGGCTATCCTATTCAAATAACTTCTAAACCATGAGGCCCGGAGTCAGGTGCAATCATTGATTATGATACTCAAGGAACTTTCAAACTATGTCTTTTCAGAAAGAAAAAAAGAATATATATATATATATATATATATATATATATATATATATATATATATTGTTTTCAAACTGTGTTACATGGAATTGAGTGCAAGGATTTGCAATAATGTGCTTCTTCTTGTTCTTGTCCTGATATTAATTTCTCTTAACTTCTAGGTGTATCTTTTCTAGATAGGATTATCACAATCTTTTCATTCTTCTATGTCTCTATTCTTTTATAGTGATTGCTAAAAGATTTAAGAAAAGGGAAACGTTTTTGACTTTTCATTTTTCCTCTCTAGCGTACTGGCTTCCAATATGAAAGGCTCACCTCTATAATATGAACAACAGACATTAACATGCATGTGTTCAAATTTAAGCTCTCTTTTTTTTTTTCTTCTCAAAATACCCCATTTACCAAAATCACCACTATCTTTGGCATCATTGCTGAACACAACCCAATAAATAAAAGGCAAAATGGATCTATAATTTCGTCGTTAGAAGTTGAAATACCAACCACAAATTGAGATATTCAAACATTCTGAAAAAGACTTAACATCTTCTTTGCTTAATGACCAATAGGATCCCGTACCTGATAACAGATTGAGGTTAGTAAAATATTGATCCATCGGATTATCAGCTCAGACCAAATTTTTCTTTATCAAATCAAATGCAGATTGTGGTTCAAGAGGATTTAAATCTCTCTCTTTTGTGATGAATAAAGCTCTGTTTTTGCCAGGAAAAGTTCAGCCCTATATCTTGAGGACTCAGTATGTCAGAAATCCATATACACTCTCGTATGACCCATTAACGAAGGATAGCTGGATTCTGGTTAATGAATTTATTCCATTCTGACTTTGGAACTACTTGTTCTGTTTGTTTATGGCTTCAAAACTTCATGAACTCTTCTCTTTCTTGTTTGCAAGACAGCCCATAGCCTCAAGGTTCTCAGGCCACCCTGTATAACTAGTTATGGGGAAGTGGCTACTAAGTAGATCAAATCTTGGAGAAGGAAACACTTCAGCAGTTAAGTTAAAAAAAAATTCCTGAAGTAATCTAGTTAGCAGGGATAGACCCAGAAAATTATGGAAGGAGGGGGGCGACCTATGTTGTGGGGGGCGATAGTGGGATTTTTCTGTAATTTCAGTAGGAGCAATTTGTAAAATTTTATAGGTATTTAATACAAAAAAAGGAACAATAAGTATAAAAAATAAATATAAAATATCGGGCAATTGCCCCCACGGGATATAATGTACGTATGTGCCTGCTAGTTAACCAGTTTTTCATATTTTTGCTACCATACCTTATTGGAAATTTAGCTCGCCAACAGATGGGCAATGTAGGATCTGAGTCATCCTGGATGAGGCCTTTACCAGACACATCTGCAAGCTGCGACAAATGGACATGAGGTATCAGTAATTACCTTTCAAGAAGAGCTTCATGATCTACAATGTGACTCTGCTTAAAATACTTACTGAAGCAACTAAATCAGAATATGCTTGTTTCATGAAGTATGAATAAGAACTGCCACTATCGAAAACTACCCGTCCCAGACTGTTGCCCAGACTACCTAAATTGAGCTGTCTATTTCCATAGCTCATTTTCGCGACCTCTGAATGATAGAAATTCCTGAACAAACAAAAGCAGATACTAAATTGAGTAGGAACTGAAGTAATATATATATATATATATATATATATATATATATATATATATATATATATATATATATCCACTGAAATGTTTCAGACATAAGGTGAATTTGGAAGAAGATTATTGATATGGAATTAAATGTACTACAAAAGTCAAAACTCTAAGGAAGTGAATAAGTGAGAACTAATTGCAAGAAGTATTCCTAGTAATTGAACTGCATTTGTATCATACAAAAATTTAAGAGAAAAAGAGAAACATTTATATCTGACTATTGCAAGTTCGAATAGGAATCCAATCGACTACATATGTTATGATTCTGTTCGTTCTGACAGAAAACAAAAAATCAGCATCTGTCCAATATTTTGAGAAAAGTTCCACCAAGTGATGGGAAATTGAATAACACTGGAAAACTATAATTTAAAAAACATTACTCCAATTGAAGCCCTCTGAAAATGAGACTTCTGCAATTGAAGATTTTCTAATTGAAACCAAAAAAATACTTAAAGAAGAGGAAAATAAAGGAACTCCCCAGAATTTTACACTCACGTGGAAGGGCTGTTAAGCATGGGGACCCATGTCATTTTCCAGTATGGCACAATATCATCACCCAAAAACATATATCCACCAGAAGCAGCATCAGTAGCGAGGCAATGGCCAACCACATTTTTAATGATCCCCTGGCTTGCCAATTGAAAAGGTAAGCTGACTTTAGCCCTGCTAAGTCCGAGGATACCATCTGTCTTTGCCATTGAGTTTAGAAGTAAGCCTTGCTGATCATAAGCACACCTTACAAACATAAATGTAAATTATTTACTTCCTAATGCAAAGTAGATAAGTAACAAAATCCAAAGAAAAACAAAACTAGGGAGTTACCCGAAAGCAACATTTTTTCTGATCATTGATCCATTTGCAATCATAAGATGAAGCTCATCCCTTGCAAGAACCCCCATGGAAGAGCTATGATCTGCATATTCAATTTCATAATCACACTGATGACAATTTTCACAATATCCAGTCTTTTGATGTCTCTGAACCTCAACACAGAGAGAGTCCTTGAAAGGTATTATTTTTTCTTTTGTGGGCTTGTACAAAGGATTTGCACCCTGCATAAATTTTCGCTATTAGAGTGCTGCTATTTTTATCTGGACAAATTGAATTAAAGGTTGAGTTTCCATTAGTCTTATTAGATGATAGATTATTCATTAATCTTATTAGGAGTGGCGCCTATTATGATGATGATCCTTTGGTGATAGCTTTCCCTCTGGCTTTGATCTTTGTTCAAGTTACAAAGCTTCTCTGTTACTACATGACCATTATTTTACCAGAAGTTTTTTAGAACAAAAAGAGAAGAATGCACTCTGTCCATAATTGTACTGAGGATGATGCATTAAATTGATTTTCTTCGTATACTAGAGATAAAATGGGGATTTAAAGTGTCAGTTTTTCATACATGTAAACCAACTAAAAAAATTTAAGTAAACAGCTGAATTTTTTTCTTTCCTTTTGGTCCCCAAAAGAGTTGAACAGTTATAGGCAGTGTAGTCCCTTCCCTATCAAAATTGTGAAGTGACTGAAAACCTGGAACATATGGTAGCCTTCTTTTTCCTTTCACTACTACCAAATGCTTTGATATTAACAAGTCGTAAATAAAAATACACACAAAAACATATAATGGAAATCAAATCAAATTCAATGATGTGCAAAGATAAACAATAAAGGCCAATGATCATTAGGGCCTTGATGATTCATGCACACAAATAAGAGGACAGGTATTGAAAAATAAGGAGCCTTGGGCAAGAATAGTTGAACATGAGTTAAGCATTACCTTTGCACAGCTAGTGCATGGAGCATCACATTGAATCCATGTTAAGTCACTCCCAGTATCCATATCAAGAAAATAACGTTTTGGAGGACTCCCAACAAGCAAATAAGTATAATACAATCTGTATGAAAGGAAAAATATGATATCATAAGACACTCTTAAGGTAATGGCGATGCTAGCACTTCAGAAAGAATAGGTAGACCAATATTGTACCAAAAGAAAATTATAGTTTCAAATACAGTAACTTAAATTTTATTTTTTCTGAAGAAGGAGGGTGCACCCAATTCCTAAGTAGTGCATGTAGGATGGACCCTCATTCAAATCTCTATTCTAGGAGAGCAAATAGTTAACACCCCTATAGAATAATTCAATTCACTTTTCATTTCAAACATGCTTAATGATTTTCTGGGGTTGCTATATTTTTAGAACTATATGCAAGATTTACAATCTGAACTATTGATCAAAATATTTTCAATTCTGTTAGGAAGATTCTTAACTTAGTGGTGTCAAGTGACATACTCTATTGTAATTATAAGGGAATAACTACTTTTAAAGCTGGTTTTGATGCTTCCGACAGCCAGTACGCAGCTTGTAGAACATTTTGAATGGAGGGAATCGTCTGTCGTTAAAGCTTAAGTTGTTGGGTAGTGTTGCATAACTGCCCATATATGCCCAAGTCCTTCCCCATTTGGATCTAACGTGGGACAAGCCCCCTCTAACATTTTCCCTCACCCGAACTCGCAATGCCCACAGGAGGACCCAGTAATGACCCGAACTCCACCCTAGTAGGTGCTTGGAATGACACTGGATCAAGAACTAGGTCTAGCTCTGATACTACTGTAACGGACTGGGTGCCTCTTTGAGCACCCCATAATCCACCACTGGTCACATGCAGTCGCTCGTCTCAATTGCACCCTCCTCCTTTCGTTTTGAAAGGAGAGGAGATACCACTAGGTCACATGCCTTGGTCCCCACTAGGAACTTGAACCTTCAACCTCCTCTTTAAGGAGGCAGAGGAGATACCACTTAATCAATGCTTGGTGGTAAATAATTGAATATATAGTAGACACACAAAAAATTAGTTTTGAATTCGCTCAAGGAGCAATGCAGATTTTCCACCTCTGACATATCAATTTAATTTCCACAAACAGTTTAGGAATATACATGTTAGGCATTTAAAAGTAACAAACCAAAAGGTATCTAAAATCTAGCTGTTATTACTTCTCAGTTCTCACACTATATAAAGTATTGTTGCCAAAAAAATCTAAAAGCTAAATGACTTTACAAATTTAAACATTCATTAAACATTAGCCTCCAGTAGTGGCTGAATGAACTTCTAAAAATTGTAACAAAAACACTGAAATTCTAAAAGAAGTATTTTTCATAAACACAAAAATTAAAATTTTGGTCCTAATTTTGTAATATAGTTTTGGTCCCAATTTTTTCTAATATGTTACCCTGGAACTTGTAAGGAGTATAAGATTTACATGGTAAAACTAAACCAGCAAACCTCAAGGAACAATATGTGTGCATTTGAAGCATGACAATCTCTCGATTCTCATAATATATATAAGAGATAAAATGCAAATTAAATTTTAGTGCTAAATATGCAGTGTTATGAATAGGTTGACTTAACAATTAACACCAATTAATGAACCAACATTGCAGTATTGGAAAGACCGTATTTGAAATGAATAAAGCAACAAGAATTGCACATACCCATCTGGATAAATATTACCCCTGACAGGGAAAATAGTAGTGGAATCGACGGCGGCCGACTCTGTACTAACCAATTTAGTGATCTTCTTGTGCCCCATTCCATCATCTAATGGTACCACAACATTCTTTCTATTCATTCCCACAAACCTCCCCAATTTAAGCTCAACATCACCTTGAATACCCCATTTTGGATACAAAGGAAAGACAAAAGAATTGGGTTTCTGATCATCATCATCTGAATTGCGTGATTCAAGAAGGGTATTTGGAGATATAGAGACCCACGAGATCAGAGCAAGAAGAGAGACACCCAGAAGCCCCAATCTAATTCTTGGGCTACCAAATAGGGTCTTTCTCAATGAGAATCGAAATTGATGGTTCGGTGATGACTGAATTGGAAGTGCAAGTTGTTGTTGTTCTTGTTCTTGTTGTTCTCGTGGGGCTTGGTGAGGTGGTGTTGGAGGTGAATCAGAGAGTGTAAAAGCAGTTATGGTTTTGCCTAAAGATGGGTTATCTGAAGGGGGAAGTGTGATTATTACTACCCCTTTTAATTGAGGTGCCTGATCAGACTCCATCTCTCTCTCTCAACTCTCTTTATCTCTCTGTATAAATATAGATTACACATGAAGCGAAGCTACGACAAAGAAAATATCATACACCATAGATGAAGAAGATGAAGTCGAAGAGTCTTCTCTCTCCACAAAGTCTTCTCTACAGTCCCATTAGAGACTCTCTCTCCTCTCTCTCTCCGAGTCAATTGACCACCAACTGCCAAGTTTATTACCGTGTTTACGAGAAAATTTTGCAAGTGGCGAAGGTACAAGGAAATTGAGGAAGAGTGGAAGACCCAACTAAGCAGAGAGTATATGTACTACCCGGACTCGCGATTGTAAATAAAAGAAGGTCTACTCGCTCGGTTCTTTTGACACGTCGTAATTTGCGATACCATCTTGCGGATCACGTAACCAAGCATGTGTTGTTCATGTAATACTACTATACATGTTTTTTTGTTTTTTGATAGTTTATTCATACATCTATGTTTCATAAAGTGGCATCACCAATATATTTGAATATAACAAATGATTATAGTTATTGATTAATTCAACTCATCTCAACTTTAAAATTTTTCTACTCGCTCGGTTCTTTTGACACGTCGTAATTTGCGATACCATCTTGCGGATCACGTAACCAAGCATGTGTTGTTCATGTAATACTACTATACATGTTTTTTTGTTTTTTGATAGTTTATTCATACATCTATGTTTCATAAAGTGGCATCACCAATATATTTGAATATAACAAATGATTATAGTTATTGATTAATTCATCTCAACTTTAAAATTTTTTCTCCAAGAGTTAGTTTTATGTGTATGTATATTCAGGGTCAGCCTCTGAGATTGAAAAATTTTTAAGAGTTCCTAGGCGAACTTTAAATGTGAGTCCCTAGTAATAGATGATGGCCCGTCATTCTTGCTGCATTTGGAGGCTGGCCCACCATTTTTGCTCCATTTTGATGGCTCTAAATTTGGAGGCGAGTTTCAATTGCTACGGTTTGGTTATAATTTTTTTTTTTGGTGGCCCATCATTCTTGAGGTCCTTTATTTGTTGCATTTTGGATATAATTTTTTTTTTTTTTGTGGCCCAACATTAATGGGCCTATAAAATTTGAGGCCCCCAAAATTCTGAAGCCCTAGGCGACCGCCTTGGTCGCCTTGGGCCAGGGCCGACCCTGTGTATATTCCTTATTCCAGTTTTTGGTTCCGTGAATGTCAAAAGTCATAATTTCAATCAATTAGTCAAATGATATCTTATTATCATCATTGTCTTTTATCTTTATTTTAAATCATTTTAGTGATCACATGAATTTATTTTTTTTATCCTAATCTATTACACATCATTCTTCTCTTATATTTAATTTATAAAATAATTATTGTTTATTCATAAGTTTTGATGGATCCGGCTCTTACATTCCATACAAATTAATCTTTCTTTTTTTAGGTAATTTACACAAACCTCCCTATGGTTTGCCCTAATTGCAGGGACCACCCTTACTATTTCGAAAATTACGCAGACCTACCCTACTTTTGAAAATATCCTACACAGACCTCCCTTATGTGTGACAAACTGTTAAATACACTAACGGAACTGTCAAAATACCCTCTCCGATCTGGAATTACGAAACTACCCTCTCCATGACATCAGCTTCTCAGTTATACAGCTATACATTCATTTGGAGGGAAAACTACCAGTAATTGAGTCTGTTTCCCAAAGCAGCGTCTTTTAATCTGCCTTACCAAACTGAGATTGTGTATTGTGAACACTTTAAGAGAGAGAGCGCGAACGTTTGGTTAGGGTTTGCGCATATGAAGGATTAACCAAATATCGCATCAACAGAGGAGTTCGCTTCCCATAGTCGGCAACAAATCCAAGTTCGTATTTGCAAAGAATGAGTTAGGGTTTGCACATATGTGAATCTGAAGTGGTCTGAGATATGTGAAAAGAATTTTTTAGTCGGTATTTAGGGTTTCTGTTTTTTATTACTCTACATTTAGTTTAGGTTATGTTAAAATTTATACTCCGTTTTTAGGGTGTGTGTTTTTTTTTATTATATCTGTAATTAGTTTAGGGTTTATGTTTTTTATTACTCTATATATAGTTGTTTAGGGTTTTGTTTTCTGTTTATTGTTAACTCTATATAGGCAAATAGGGTTTTTATAATTGAAATTATGTGTAATTTAGGAGTAGTTGTTCCATCATATTGTTTGTGGTAAATTTAGTTAATTTGTGTTTATAATTTATATTTTTGTTATAATTTTAATTGTTACAGCGATGGAATCAATTCATGATATTGCTGTTCACTACAAGTGGAACCTAACTTTTATAACTGATGGTATGTCAAACTATGAATCAGGAGATGAACCTGGTACTGAATCTGATAAGGACATGTATGTGGACATTGATGATATGGAAGAAAAAGAATGTGAGATAAATGTTGAACAACAGAAAACTGAAACAGTAAAGGCTAGGTCATATGTAAACTGTTTAAAGGGAATTCTATTTGAGAGAGGTTTGGATGGAAAGATTAAGTTACAAGAAGGTCATCTATTTCTCTGTGTGAACCATTTTAGGGATATTTTGGTTGATTTTTGTGTCCAAGAGGGATGTAATATAAAAAGAGTTAAAAATGAGAAGCAAATAGTGACTGTAAGATGTGCAGTTCAGGGGTGTCTATGGAGGGTACATGCTTCCCGTTTGGTAGATAAAGTAACTTATCAACTCAAGACAATTAGAGGTCCACACAATTGTGTGAGGAGTGGCACTGTGAGGGATGCAACATCCACATGGATTGCTAAAAAGCTTGGGCAGAGTATAAAAGACAATACAGGGCTTCCACTTGATGCATTGCATGCAACAGTGATGAGCCAATTCAAAGTTGATGCAAGACTCATGTAACTATACAGAGCTGAAAGAAAAGTTATGGATGAGTTAGAGGGAAACCATAGGGAAGCATACACTTTGCTTCCTAAGTATGCTAATGAAATTTTCAAATATAATCCTGGTAGTATTATGAAGCTTGAGAGGGACTTATTTATTATAACATTTAAAAGAATTTTTATGTCTTTAGAAGCTATGCAATTTGGATTCAAGAATGGTTGCAGGGGGTTCATTGGATTAGATGGTTGTCACCTAAAAACCCCTTATGGTGGTGTGCTCTTGTCTGCTATAGCTCTTGATGGGAATAATGGGTTTTTTCCACTGGTTGTGGTTGTGTTGGAGAATGAAGGGAAAGAAAGCTGGAAATTCTTCCTTCAAACGTTGCAAAGTTTTGTTGAACTTGGTCAGGATAGACATCTATGCTTCATGTCAGATCAGCAAAAGGTAAAAACTTAATTTATTACATGTAATTTCTATATTTAATAAATTACATTAAATTTCTATATCTAATTTTTGTTTTTTACTTATGCTTAGGGTCTTGAACAAGCAATGACGATTGTTTTCCCACATGCAACCCATAGGTTATGTTACAGACATCTATATAACAACTTTAAAAAGAAGTATCCAGGATTGTTTTTGCAGTCTTTTTTTGAGAAGGCAACTATAGCCTATAATGATTACACATTTAATGAGGCAAATGAGGCAAGTGTCAAGAGAGGCTTATAATTGGGTCTTAAGAATAAATGTGTGCAAGTGGTCAAGGCATGCATTTTCTGAGTAGGTGAAGAGTGACCATGTCACTAATAATTTTAGTGAGTCATTCAACAATTGGGTTGGGAAGCTTAGGTCTAAACATAATTTAGGGCTGCTTGATAGTATTAAGAGCAAATTGATGAGCAAACTCCAAATGAGGGCTGAAAAGGGCATGGGTAAGATTGGTGACCCCAAACATTAGGAAAAAATTGAACAAGTTGATTGATGAGTCTAGATCATGTAATGTTACCCCAACAAAGTAAGATGAGTATGAAATCATAAATGAGGAAAGAAAACATATAATGAAGCTTAGATCAAGGTCATGTGATTATAGAGGAAGGCAGATTTCTGGCCTCCCATGCAAACATGCAACTGCAGCCATGACACACTAAAGCATAGATATTGAACAATTCTATGATCCATATTTCTATAATGAAACATACATAAGAACTCATTCAAGTATGATTGGACTCTTGTGCACTGTAACCCTGTGGAACCTCCAGTTCCAAGAAAAAAGCCTGGTAGACCAAAAAAAGCCAGGACAAGAGATGCAAATGAGCCTGCAGTTGCAACTAGTGATGCTAGAAAGAGCAAAGCCCTATAATGCTCACAGTGTAAAGAATTTGAGCATAACAGGAGAACATGTAAAGTAGGTCAACCCAACTAGGTAAATCACTTTTAAGTTTTTTAATATTAAGTCATAAGTTAATGCCCTTTAACTTGTGACATTATTTGACACTATATAAGAACATGCAGGGACATACAACTACAGCAACATCCAGTCAAGTTGGAAGTGGAACTTCAAGTTTTACTAGTTTAACAGAAGAGGTATAACTTTATTTTTATTTTTAAAGAAGAAGTTTAACTTTATTTCTATTTTTCTTAAATAGACTAAGTTTATTTTAATTATAATCACAGATGATGAGGCCTACATCAGCTACTCAATTTGGGTGTCAAAGCTCAACTTTTTCACAACAAGTATAACTTAACAACTTCTCCACAACAATTATAACTTAACATGTATACCTAATGTCTTTTTTAACTAACAAACTAACATTGGTTTCCTTTTAATCACAGACAATGAGGAATGCAGGTAGAAAAACCACTGCAAGCACTAACCAAGTTGAAAAAGGGTGTGCAACCTCAAATCAAGCAAGAAGCACCAACAAAGCTGGAAGAGGGTATACAAGCTCAAGCTCAAATCAAGTAAGAAAAGGCATTGCAAGCACCAACCCAGCTGGACAAGGCTTTGCAACATCAAATCAACCAAGAAGACCAAATGCAGTCAAATTTCAAGTTTGAAGAGGAACTGGAATAAGCAGCCAATCTGGAATGGACACTTGAAAATGGAGAAAAAGGCAATTGAAAATGCAGCCATAATATAGTTTATATAAATATATTTTTGTGGACAATTTATGAAACTTTTGTTGTTTAAGTTGCAACGACCCGAACCTGTAAGTCTGAACCGTTAATCGGGTCCTTACCCATATCCGAGATCACCTAAGTCAAACACCTCCATGTCTAGTGTTCATTCATCACCATGGTACCTTAATTATATTTCAAGAAGGTAGACAACATTCCAAGGCATGGGTGAATCAAAGACCAAAGAAGGAACAAGGATACACAAACTGCTC